CATTTGCATTGTTTAATGCAATAGAAAATTTCTTAGCTTCTAGGCACTCATTTGCATCAGAATCACATCGCAAGCGATTCAAATAAAACTATTATAAGAAATTTGAAGTAAGTGGCGCTGACGTGATTATGGTAAATTAATATGTATCTATCTATTTATCTATATATCTTATAAGAGACGATTTCTTTGCGTAACTGTGTACGTACGTGATAAGCTTGAATGTGGGTGATCCGATTTTGATGACATTAGTACCATTATAATCCGTGGAATCTTCAAATGGCTTTAGTAGAGAGAAAATGAAGAATTCAGGGATTAATATAATTGTAGAGAGGTACAAACGGACCGTGAAAAACACCGTAAGCTCGGCAAAGAACACACAAAGCTAGTAGATTAATACAACACAATGACATAGTGCTGTATACATACAGTAGTAAGGTGTAGATAAGTAACCAGATTATACGTAAAAAATATGAGGGAATATTCATGAATATAATGGTGAACAAATACAGTCAATAACCTTTTGTCTTCCACTTCTACTTTCTGGATAGACAGATCCAGACCGTCGTTGCAATTCCCTGATACCCTCTGGATCGTGAAGACGCTTGTCAGTTCTTCCGCGTAGTTGACTTTCTGAGGTGTGTGCTTTGGTCCTGATGTTTCTTTCGCCTCACTAGGGGTGCGTTCAAAAATCTTACTCAGGGTAATTCGGACACATTGCGTCTCTTTTTATTATCGTTATTACGAAGAGGACAGAATGATACTAGAATCGACATTAGAGAGGTTTCCGAACGTACCCTCTAGAGTGCTCTGTCAGGCTCGTTACTGGCGCTCTCGGGCCCCGTAGCGCTTGTTGTAAAAAGGTTCCCACGAGGGAAATAGATAATAATTTATAAAATAACACAGTCCAACATGGAATGTTGCATGGAAATGTGCATGTGCATGGAAATCGTGTTACGTATAAAAGAAAATCTCTTGTAAATTTTGGAAGGCAGGCTACCAGAAGATTTTACCTTTGGAAAGGCTTGAAACTCAAAGCTCGTCATTTACAAAAAAAAAATTTTACGTGAAGATGTATCCAGAATGAGAGAGATATTGTTTTTCTAACATTGGGCTCTCTAATCTCTTAAGAACTTCTACAAAGTCGTCGCTCTGAATGAAATTATAATTAATAAACTGAAGAATTTGTCTATCTAATTAGCATAATTATCGTTCACATAATTTCATGCTGGTAGTTAACATTGATTCACGTAATACAATCTTAAGGCAAACCTATTTGCCCTGATATTTTATATGTGTACATTTCTTATCATATACCTTTCAAAAAAGGATATTGTCAAAAAAAACAAATTTGCGCATCGCAGCCGCATCTATTTCGCACATGCATGCGCATCAACAGCTCAAATAAACTACTTCTAAAGTGACAGTAACTAACAAATTATGTTACTTTTATTGAATATAATATCAATTTTACGTTAATTTTATTACTACTTGAAAAAGGAATTGTCAATATTCGCATTTTGTCTGTGTAAACTTTACTGCGTTATGATTAGCATTCTATTCATTATGTTCTACTCAAATCTTCAACATATTCTAGAACTAGTGATTCTGTAACCGTGATCCTCTGTAAACGATAATTTACCGATGATTCAAATTTAAGAAAAAGTAAATTAAGCAAAAGGTATCTTGCGTGACTTTCGTTAGTCAAAAGACAATCGGCAATGTTGGTCACCGATAACCGACGCACCTTAAACCAAAAGTTCACTGTCGTTACTGATGGCAGACCACTGAAAAGAAAGACTAGCACTACTGAAAGACTAGCACATTCTGCTACAGCACAATTACGGTGCTGAAAGTTTTGATTTTTAACACTAAGTTTACGGGACGCGTCAGTGTGACGCAGAAGAAAAATTGCATAAACCGTTTACATTTCTCTCCTACCACTTTTGCTGACTTTAATAAATGTAACGAATTAGACTTAACGAGAACATAAATTAATGTTACGTAATGTTAAATATTCCAAGTTAATATGTTATGCTTATGTATATGCTTAATTGTATATAATTATGTTATTTTTGGAAAAATAATTTTTTTAAAGAACATGTGCGGTTTCGTTCACTCGTCAATTTGACGCGTATGCGTAGAGAATACGTATATCAAGACTCGGTCGAGTCTCACGCAAAGTACATGCAACCCGCCGTATAGGGCACGGCCCACCGAGATCCTTTACTCGAAGCGTCTCTTGGACCTGTGTTTCGACTCAAAAATCTTATGAACGGCTATGTGTGAGAACAAGTTATTGATACCTTTACTATAGGAATCGAAGGTTCTGAATTGATTGCCATAAAAATCAATGAGATTGATATACGAGATGGCGAGATGTATTGAGATGGCGAGCGAAATGATTTTATTTCGTCGTCGTGCCAGGAATTCCAAAGTACTTAATTTCAACGTACTAATAGTATTCTAAGACTAAATGTTTTATTATTAGGCTTTTACCGTGATTATTTTTGGCGAGTTATTACTAATATGTTCTATATAGAAAGTTGACTTTGTTTTTGAGTTTCTAATATTATAGATTTATTAACAATGATTTCATTGTGATAATTTACACTAGTACTTTAATGTATTATGATTCAATCCAATAAATTAGAAAATCAAACTCAGCAAAGGAAAATTTAATTAATATTCGTATATATTGTATGTTATTTGATACCTTCTTAACACAATTCAAAAATTCGTCGGTAATTTTCCCTCTCATAGCCTATACTCTCACTCATATCCCATACCTTACTTTAATGATTACATTGTGACAACGGATGGCCTCGTATATCGCCTGTAGATCGGATTTGGATTTTTCCTCGACAAATTCGGAAATTCCGCCTCTCCGGATATGTTCCAGTCGAGCTTCTTCTTATCCTTATTTTTTGTTGCGGGTATATGTGTAAAAGCTCTCACGCTATTTTAAAGAATAAACGAGACGAATATACATTAAAATATATCAATAATATATGTAAGTTATTAAAACTATAGGTACCTGCTATGTAGTTTGATTGACGTTTCGTAGTCGAAAGGGATCGATCTTACAGATGTCACGAAATATATTGAGTACTGCGAGGTGAAAGGGGAAGCGATAACAGTGATACCTATTGGCTATTTGGGAAGATCACGATGTATCGATCGTCGGTACTTGGAGTGATTACCACAAGTTTGAAGGCTGGCATCATGAGCCTAAATTTATATGAAGTAATGCACGGACTCGCCAAATAGTTCTCGATAAGGATTCACCTAAAGTTTTATTAATTATTAATTGACCATTAAATCATAATTAAATACGAGAAGCATTAATAACATAAAAGAGTAGCGAAAATGTTATAGGAAATTTTGAAAATACAATCAAAATGATGGGCCAATGCTAGATCATATAATAGGCAGATATGTAGTGACTTACGTATTTGGCATTAATAATATGATATTAATACTTTTTATTACAGGAATACACAGCATCCCTGTACTTGGTATCGATTTTTACACGACAATGTTTTTTGGGCTGTAAGAAATGTGTCTATAAATCTAGTAGCGTGTAGCGTATGCGTTGTAGCGATAGTGTTGGTAATAGGATAATCGTTGGAAAAAAAGGCGGCAAGCCCAAAGGAATTCAAATTGCTGCGTTGAGTAATTCGATCACAACATACTCGTCATAGTTAGTGTAATAGAAATACGGTAGGATAAAATGGCGCACTTGGCAACATCAATTTCACTTGCAAGGACCATGTTCTTATCAATTGCAATGTAAAACTGTTCACAAAGTGAAATTGATTTATTAGCCCGATCAGTATAACCTTTAAAATTTCAAAAACTGCTAAACTTTGGTAATTCATGATTAATAACAGATTTCATACGAGAAATTAGTTTAACTTAACAACATTTAGTTAGTTTTAATCACACAATAATTATATTTTTTGATTTATCAGAGTCACAGTAACTAGTACGAATAAGAATTTCTTACCGGAATTATTGTATTCAAATAATTATACTGTAAGTTTATCAAATATTTAACCTTGTAAATGGATAAGAGTAATCAAAATTGTGGTAATATTAGCCAGTCCTATTTTCCTAGTATGATATCAAATCCAGCAAAATTTCGAGTACGTAAACTATAAAAACGAAAATTATTAATATGTACTTACATATTAATTTACAATTTATAAATTGAAATTACGCAACCTGTTGTTCAAAATATTTGGGATTAAAGTCATGTTTTCAATATTTTTTAACAACACGTATAAAATCTGAAGTATAATTGTAATTGAATTGTTTTTTAAGATGAACTGGACTTTTAAATATATTTGAAGCACTGCAAAATTACCATCAAAAATTGTTACCATAAAACCTCAAATCTCGAAAGTTCGGCGAGAAACCTGCTAAGTTCGATCCAAAGCCAATGAATATGCACGAGCGAAGGCGCCAGTTCGCATATAGTTTACTCATAAATAAACATTTTTCATATAAAGATAATCAATTTCACCTAAATAAACCTTTAGAGCGGTTTCATAGTTTTTTTGTAAAAAATATAAAGTTTTTACGACAATTATTATAAAAAATTAGCACGACAATATCAATACGAATGCAAAACAGAATCTAACAAAGAAGTCAATATTTTCTCTTCATCATGTCTTTCTAACGTGTTCATTAATTCTCACGACATAATAAATAGTTTTTGTATGATACCCAGATTCTGAACGCTGATTACTATGGTCTTATTATCAGTATGTTGTTGATTATGATAAAAAAGGCCTAATATATGTAACATAATCACAAGAAATGGGCGTGTGTTAATATATGCATATACATATAAGAGGATAAAGTTTTGAGCCAGAGGTAAGAGTAGTGCGGGCAAACTTTTAACACAAGCGGAATGTCGAGTTCTCCCGAGAATTACCGAACGCGACCGAGGCAACAGGCGGCTCATTTGAAACGTGCGCCCATAAAGAGCTTCGAGGTTGCAGCTTGACAGTAAGCCGCCGGCATTCGAAGTGTGAGCGTCGTGTGATTGGTGCGCGTAGTGTAAATGCTCCAGAGTGAGCGTTACTCAAGAGTGCGGAATAAAGTGGAGAGCGTAAAGGAAATACAAGCTAGAAATTCCTCTCGCGGTGTTGCCGTTGATATTAGCAATTTTTCCAATGTGATTCGTAACAATAGCGCCATATTGAATTTCGGTTCAACGTAAATTGAAGTGAGTGTCGCATTAATTACAGTCGCGAGGATTGATAGTTTTGTGTTTTCGACGATAAAGAACCGTGAATACGTGATTATTGAACCTAGCGGATATACGCCCGACAGACCGCCAGCCCAGCAGTAGAAAGCAATTTACGAGTACAAAAAGCCCTTTGAGTAAACGAGCGCTGAATATTATTTAAGATTCAAGATAAACACTCGAGTGAGAGCAAAGGGTGGTGTTTAACGACAAATATCAAACAAGACAGCAGACGGGGTTAGACTGGTCGACACTCTGTAAATCTTTTTCCTCATTCTAGAAAAAGGCCTCTCACTCTGGTCCAGCGTGAGAATTCTCTGTAGATTTCGTAAAACTTTGTTTCGACGATCGGGCCCTCTTGACTAGGAATGACAACAGGCCCTCTTCTGCTCTCTTATTCTTTCGTGAAATGTGATGTGAGAATCTATGTGCGATCCACTACAACATAAGCGTAAAACGTCAGAAGCTCCTCAAAGTCAGGGACTCTAGTCCAACAATTCCTCCTTGTTATTTTTCGTTGGAAGATACAAGAGAGAAACATGTTAGAATTGCAACGACCTATTCTGATAGTCAGTGCGATATCACTGCTAATAGTGCTCGACGTCATCCATCTCCACTCAGTTCTGGCTAACGAACTGAAGGACTACTGCTCGATGCACAGATTCGAGAATCTACCCGGTGGGCTCCGATTTACTAAGGAAGTCGTCACCACAGAGTACGCTAGTGTCGGATCCTTCAAGGCAATCCATTGCTGCTTACGCGGTTACCGGAGCATCGAATGGTGAGTTTTCGTTAACGTCATGTTGTAAACTTTGCAATTCTCCGTATGGAGTTCAGACGGCGGCGGGTCTTTCCCTTTGCGTGTTGAACGCATCAACCAAGAAGGAACCTGATTCCTCTTGTTTCTCCTCTTTTTTTTCTTTACTCCTCTCTTCCCCCGTTAGCCATTCTTTCCCCTCCTACCTGCTTGTCGTAGAAACTTTACTGTGCTCCGACAATGAGTCACGATTCTTGATGTAAGTGCGCGGCCAACAGATCTGACGCAACACAGACCTTCCGCATAAACCTGTTTATTCTACTGCTCTCCTCTTTCCTATTTTTTCTTTCTTTCTTCCCATCAGTTCTTAATATAGCAATCGGCACTTCGAATGGCTTCAAATAGACCCGGAGTCTTGGTCTTGCAGAAGAACACTTTTAGATATTTTCCACAGCGTCAATAGAAAAAATAACAAAGAGTCCTAAAGGATTTTTCCAAGAAAGGCGCTCAGCTTTTCCCTCTGTATCTGGAATTGCAGACGGACAGCCGGTCGGGTGGCCGCTGTTAGGTCGCCAATCAGTCCCAGGTCAGTCCTCGGGTGGGCCTGATTGAATCTGGTCGGGTCAGACCCCTGCACAATGCACAGTTGCCATTCTATTCAAAAAGAACATTGGTTTACGGTCCTGGTTGTTTGATGTTCAAGGTTCCAGGTGTCACCCGGTACATATTTTCACTAGATTGCCTTTACCCCCCACTGATATCAACTTGACGAGTCGACGTGTATCGACACGTTTCAACGTGATAAGTTGGCTCAGCTTGCATCCTTAGATGGCGACTGCTTACCTTGCAATTCTGGATATACTTATTATTGTGATACCGTAGTTTTCAACCTTCTGCTTCACATTACTTATTTAATTTTAATACACTTTTTTTATAAATTGAGTAATATTTAGGTATCAAAAAAAAATAATGGAATTTTATATAAAATTTGTAATGCTCGATTCACATAAAGTTATTTTATTATATAACATTATATTATATAACATTAATATTATTATAACATTATTCTTATTTTAGCGTATAATATCACAAATTGGACTATAGCTGCTTCATAAATGAGTCACATGTTGATATCCATCAACATCCTCTTAGTCACGGAACTGACTAGGTCAAGAAGCAAACAAATTCTTGCAAATTCAAAGAATCTTGAGTTCCAAGAGGAGCCCGGATCGGTTTCAAAACTTTTATATATGATAAAAAGTTTCATATCACCGATGAATAGAAAGTTTCTCGTACGTCTCCAGCTCTTAGGTTATATTCACAAATCACATTTCCACGAGAACGGTTTGATCCTCTGCCGCAACATTGAAATTCAAAGAAAATTCGCCAACGTTACGTAACAGTAGGCGAAATACATACGAAACGTATATACATATTTGCAGGAACGTGTATGACAGACTTTTCTTTGAGGTTGGCTGCGTTCACAGGATCGACATGTCCTCCGTATAATTCCTCTCTATCTTTTCTGTCTCTTTTCTTCTATCGTCTTCGCATCAGTCACGATTATTTGTTTTCTTATAGCAATTCCTTGTTATTTATGTTCTCGGCATAGCACTGTATACATATATCTTTCAGTATCAATATGTTGAAAAGATAAAATTTTGTAGAGCATAGTTACGTAAAGTGTCGGTAAAACAGTTTGCATGCATGAATATATCTAAATTCCAATAGTCTCTGTTTCTACTATTTATGGTGCTTGATGAACTGTTTTAAATGTGAAAAAGTGAAACTCTCCAAAATAATTTCGAATTATCATCAAATCACGTGTACTAAGTTCTCATTTATTATCATAGTTATGCTATATGCAATAATACCTGTAATGGTGAACCGTAATAAAAATGAAATGAGACGATTTTCATATTAAAACTACGATAGGTCTTAGCTTATTAGTCAGTTTTATGAAAATGAACGCAGAATCAAAGTTTATTAATATACAGTCTCTTAAGCTCGTGTAAACATTACTTTTTTCTAACAAAGCACACGTGCACGTCATACCATTCCATGCATAACAATCCTCCCTGAGTTTTTATTGGCAAACCTTGGTTCCTGCATTTCCATATAATACCGAGAAAAGCCTTTGTGGTCGTCTTGACAAACATACTACTCAACCACAATAATAGAAGAGTACGACGCGTCAGTTCGAAATTCGCGCTCAGACACATTCCACAAATTTCTTATAACTAATGAGTTGGATAATTTATCGTTCTCGAACCATAACGCCAGAAGTGTAGTACGCAATATAATCCAAACGTTATTTTCCCCGAAGAATTTCAAAACTAGAAATGATTTCTTCTTCTTACCTTATTACAAAAGTGACATGTAATATTTCACACGGCAAAATGCACTAAGGTACCATCCATGTGTATTGTCATCCCGTGAAAAAAAATTTTCGATAATAAAAAAATAATTCACAAAATCAGATACTTAAATTTATAAGGAGAAAATAGTGAAGAAAAAAAAGTTCGTTCGAAGTAGATCAGATCAAGTCGAATCTCTGTTATTAATGGATTCTTCCTGGCAATGAGGACGAGGACGACGGTGACTGCTACGAGAATGAAATTTGTGAGAATTTGCATTTCTCGTGCTTCCCGTTAGTCGAGAATGATAAAGCAATCTGCCATGCAGCCCGATGTTATTCCAGAGTAACGGTTTGCAAACGATAACGAGAACAGCGTTACGCGACACAATGCAGTAGCAGCTTGGACGTGTTAAATCGAAGGCGTGTTAAATGAGCTCTAACAACTTTGAAATCCATTTAAGCATAATAAAAGAAAAAAGAGCGCGTCCATCGATCGGCAACGGTTCGACAACTGCAGAGGTAACTGATTGAAGAGACGACGAGCTATTCATTAATAACGCGAAGGATATAAAAGGCATTTAATGCAGTGGCACGAGGTCACAACTTACAATCAGTATGAACCAATTGATATTGACCTGCGACTATGAGTTGCGGAAGTTGGGATGACATGCATTTTTTTTCTTTAATTCATTTCAGACCATCACTCTGAGTACGAATGTCCGCTGTGCAAAAAGGGAATTTCGTCGTACTTTGATATTTTTACGAGCTACCGGGACAAATTGTGCTTCGACACTTATAATTGCGGATATTGCATATACACGTAGAGTGGGCTTTTTAAACTCGTTAAATTGGATGGATGCAAATGTATAAAAAATTACCGTTAACGCGTCGGTAGACTCTCGAAATTTCGAGGAAATGCAGTGGACTGCGGAAAACCACTTTTCACATCAATACGGATTTTACAATTATAAATGCGAAAGGAATATGTAGCTTTGTGTAGAATCTGCATGTTTCTCTGAAGCAGTCTAGTGCTATTGATACGTTGAAGAGTACGGTCTTTTGTTGTGCGTATCATTCCTTACGTAAAGATCGTATGCTTTAAGTGCCTTTGGTACTGAAAAGCATCTTTCAAAGTCTAATTTTTAAAACTCTCTTGGCGATCCTTTGTATTTTGGTTTAATCTTTTGTCATTGTGGTAGAAGCAACACTGAATATCTGACGTGTGTTAAAGGTGTTACTTTCTTAAAAATTTAATTAGGACTTGTCACCAGTTTTTTCAACAATGCATACACTTGCAGTCTATTTATATATTATTTAGCAGCAAAGTATATACTAGTCGAGTTCGATTATCTATATACCTATCGAACTCGATTCACTATTATCGAATATGATTCATTGGAATGAAATTTGTAAAACAATTTATCATATTACTTGGGTACTGATTAATATAGTCCAAATGGACACTAGTTTAAGTCTTCGTGATAATTGTTGATGGCTTGAATGTCTTGTATAACTATATTTACAAACTATTCTACAAAACTTTTGAACTCATTCCCAAGCGAGGATTAAATGTTGTTTTAACCAGTTAAAAAAACAGGCTATACAAAAGTTTGTTTCAAACTCCATTATTTGTGATACAGTATACGCACAGATTCGCGGGATCCATTTTAATTAAAACACGAATCGCAACTCGTATCAAAACTATTTTTACGCCCTTTCGATATTTAGCATCCGATTTTGCTTGCAAATAGTGATCCGATACGTGGAGTTGTTTCCGCATAAATTGTTTGCTCGCTTCGGGAAGAGAGTGGTTTTTTTTAAGATTGAAATTTCAATTCTTAAACCTTTGGAACCATTCTTTACACGTACTATAAGGCACAGCGCGGTCACCTAAAACGAAACAAATCATTTGCTTGGGCCATGCAGCATTCTTCTTCAATTGGAATACGAAAAGCAGGCAGAGTGCTTAAAATGTTGCTTTTTGAATGACATCGCTTTCTCTACTGTTTTTTGACGTTACATCAGGAACGTCATTAACTATCATACCTCATTCCAAAGCTTAAAGACAGCGCTTTAAAGTTACCCTAAGGCGGAAAAAAAAATTAGAATTTTAATACCTGCCGCCATTTATTAAATTTTGGGACCGAGAATTAATTTATACACCTCATAGATTCGAAAGTGCACCTGTGTACAATACTCATAAGGATATGAAGATATACAAATTATTGTATATTAATACAAGTGTAACAATCTTTATTGTTTAGGCATTCCAAAGACACGAAAATGTACCACAGACGATAACATGTCTTCCTAAAAATATGCTGAATCTTGTATAAAATATAACAATGTAAAAAAGTGTTTACAAAAAAATTGAATAATGAACTTAGTATCACATACCGCAAGTCATTGTAATCAAAAATATTTCTCCCATTTAAAAATACTTATATGTGATCTTTGTTATCAATGTTAAATATCCCGAATAATTGCTTACATACAAAATTAATTGGATATGTATCATACATCAGTTTATTAAACCATATCACAGACATTTACAAATTCGCAAGTTCCTATCTCGCGACATTAAAACGATCTTTCTAAAAGGACAATGAACTAAGCAAAATAACAATACTGTAACGTAACAGAAAGTTTTATAGTAGTTACACGC